ACTGAAAAAATATTCCACATTCTATGTAGAAATATAAACATGTTTAAATTCTACTTTAAAAGTATATAGATAAAAGATGGGTGACCACAATCTTGGAAGGAACAGAAGTTACTTCCATAGAGATCCTATTCCAAGATATAGGAAGCATTGCAAAAAAGCAGGAATTCAACCTATGAAATTATTGGAAAAAGACAAAAAATACCTGAATAAAAAGGAGAGCTCAATTTGTCCTAAAATGTTAAATAATAACATGATAAATGAGAGCTTTTAATATAATAGAACACAGAAGATAATTTGCCAACAAGAATAAAAAAAAAGAACAGAGTGATGGAGGGGGTGAATGCAACTATGATATATTATTAGAACTTTAGTGAATGTCACAGTGTATTCCCAGCACAACAATAATAAAAAGAAACAGTTTCATATCTCACACTATGTAAGATTGTATATGTTATTCTTCAAATTTGCATTGCTGGGTAATCTCTGATTTTTGATCTGTGTTTACACAACTCCAGTTTTAGCACAAATGAAACAGAGGCTTACAAAAATGAGAATCTTGCAGTAGATGTAATGGGCAGTTACACAAGCCATGTGACACACATGGCTTTATCCTCACCCCATTCAGCTACTGTACCCTTCTCCTGAGCTTCTCTACGGGTCTGTGGACTTGGGCGTTGTATGAATATTCCTGGAGCCAGAACATTTTCCTGGGGTGTGGATTGTGGCTCCAGGTCATCAGAATTGGCTCTCCTGCTTGTGTGGCATGAGTCATCAGTGAAGACAGTCATGGAAGCATCAGATTTTCAACTTCCTTATTTGCCTACACATGAGTAGGCATGTATAGGCAATGAAGAACTAAAGAAAAGCTGAGCATTCAGCACGTTCAAAGCTTGAAGTATCAGAAGGTTGGGTATAGTGACACATGCCTATTATCCCAACAACTCATAAGGCAGAGGTAGGAGGATTGAGATAGGGGGCTGGCCTGGATAAAAAGCACAAGACCCTATGGGAAAAATAAACTAAAGCAAAAAGGTCTGGGGTCGTGGTGCAAGTGGTAGAGCACTTACCTAGAAAGTATGAGCCAATGAGTTCAAACCCAGTACCACCAAAAACACCCAAAAAACAAAACCAAAAACCACACAGGTGCACACACAAACACAAAACCTGAAGCATCAGAAAAGTAAGTCTTCCAAACCTGTCTCAGTTGGAAAATTGTATTACCTATTATTTCTTTAGAATTAGGAGGACAGTGTAGCCCATCACACTCTACTTCATGAGCAAGGAAAGACACCAAGAAATGAAACGATCAAACTCAGCATTTTGTAGAGAAAACACCCACAACAACATATGATAAAAATTTGTATGCTTCTCGTTTTCAGCATAATGATATCCTTGATTTGGCCTGCTCTACACTTCATTCTTACATTGCTCATTCTCCAATCAAATAAAATCATAATGCACCAAAAGGCAAAAGACAGTAGCTACAAATGCTAATTTACATGGGAAATAGAAGGAACATTTTTCATGAAGCTATTCAGAAGCAAACTTTATTTAAAGACAAGCTTAAAATTTTCTATTACCCATCAGCAATTTTGAGAGATCTGTCAATTCTCTCTCACATGGAATTTGTCACATTTTATGTTAAATTATATCAACTGATGAAGCACATTGCTCTTTTATGAAAGAGTTTTTCTGTTTTCAGCAAAGCATTCAAAATCCCACTCATAACTTTCAGGACCCATTCATGAGAAAGCATCCTGTCAGCAGAGGCTAGGCTCTGCGTCTTCCACGACATATCTTCCCTTTTAATGGTTAGAATGAACGTTGGGATTCTTCTCTGTACACTGACCCACCCCAAATGCTCCCCTAAATCCTTTTCCCCTCCATTTGTTAATAAAATTAGCCAACAAAGATCTTAAATGGTAATTATGTTAATTCCTATACTCATCAATGTCAAAATGGCTGGTCTGAACACATCCTATAGTCAGTGATGAGATATAAGTGTTTTTATTCTACACTACTTGTTTAGCAAATTAGGTCTTAATTTCTTAAAGAATCTGGCTCCACAAGAAAGGTACCAAAACCAGGACCATAAAAAGAGGAAAACAATTAAAATCCCATATTGAAACCACTGGATAATTACCATGAAGTCTGCCAGTCACAAAATGCAGGAGTTGACTGGAAAGCAGTTAGTCTTGGGACTTTGCCTGAGGAGTTGGCCCAAGTACTGTCCATACATTTTTTGTTTCTGCTTTTCAACTCTAGTAATTCTGCTGGCTGATTATTGATTTTTATCTTCAGCAGAAATGTATTTGGTTCACTTGTGTTTGGGGGATGGTTTTTTACCTGTTTGTGCTCATAGATTTTCACTAGGAGGTTTCATCTGGACTGCTCATTATTAGATACTAACTTTATACTATGATTTCCAAATTTGCATCTTTACCTCCAGATTTTATTTACAACTGCCATCTTGGCATCTCCCCTTAGATGCATAACAGGCATCTCAAAATTAACTATTTAAAATTCGACTCTTGATTTCTACTGTACACCTACCTCCCAATAAGTACTACAACCTTCCTCTAGCCTTTCCCCTACTAGCAGGAAAAAGTCAATCTGTTCATGTGACAACCTTTCTTACAACCCTTCACAGTCCAGATGGGATGACAGCTACTTTCTACTCAATATGCAATAAAAATCCAAGTCCTTGCCACACCTTGCAAGGACCAATATGTCATGGCCCTCTAAGTCTGCCCTCTTATCAACTGCCCCTACTGGCTTTTATGTTCTTCAAACAAGATTGTGGTAGCTCCTCCTCTCTTTGCTTAGAGTACTTTTCTTCAGACCCTCAAGGGGCTGTAACCCTCTGCAATTCACATTTCAACTCAAATATCACATACCTAGAGAAGCCTTTCCAGATGCTCTTCAGCCTTCTCCATCAGTCACATTATCATGTTACATTTTCCCATGAAAATTGTGGGCCTATAAGTCATGGTCTGTCTCCTGCTATTAGAATTTAAGCACAAAGAGAACAGGGACCTACAGCAGTCTTGGGGACCGCGCTAATCCTCACAGCTGTGAAAGTCCTCAACAAATAACAAAGGAAACTGAATTTGAAATGTTGTAAATAGGAGAACTAGGCCTTTCAATATCCTGAAGTTAATGGAATTATATATGCAAAAATACTGTTTAATTTGTAAGCTATAAGCATGTGTCTATATGCATGCAGCTATTCCACGTGGTCTTTATTTCATTCTGTGCATATCACACAACTCGACATATCTTTCCATTTATAAAGACATTAGCCCGTGTGAGGAATTTTCACATCTATTAACACAGAAATGTTAAAGAGCCCGAAATATGCAAATATACTAAGGGACTCATCTACAGAAATCCCAGAACAAAATTTTCCTAAAATTGTAGATAACCCTGAGAGGAAAACACCAAAGAATGCATCTACCTTTGAAAATACATCTGCAATTAGCAAGTCACAAAAGCTCACAGGTCTAATTTTCAAATTGGTGAGGACATAGGGGGACGTTGATTCAAGCAAGCACATTGTCATGCCATAGGAGGTTTCTGCACTCAGGACAGTATCGGATTAAATCTGCAGCACTGATAAGTTCAACATTTTGAAGTTGGCCCCAACATGGTAAATCCAAACTGTCCCCTTTTTCACATTAAAATATGCAGCAGCACATCTGTAATTACAGCTGCAGGAAGAAAAATAAGTCTGCAATCACCAAAGACTCAACACTGATTTTGGAGTAGAGAAACATTTTCTCCTGTAAGTGACAAAAATCAGAAGAATTGATAATGAAACCAGAATGGCTGATTTTGGAATTCCTTTTCATTGACTTTATCTTATAAATAAATAAGATAAATTTCATTTATCTTCATATAAATGAAATGATGCAGAACTTTCTTGAGTTGATTCACTAGATTATGCTTTGTCTATTACACCTTACTAACAGCATCAAAATGTCTCATCACACAGTGTAAAAACTAGTCTCTATGAAATGTCAGAAAATTCCAGGGCCCTACCATTATCAAAACCAGTGCTTTTCTCAGGATATAACTTCTGAGCTTTTGGATCTTTCTAGTATTATCAACAAAGATTAGACTGTCACCATCTGGAGCAATTTAATTCTTTCTCAGGTTTCTCCAATGGATTCCTTAGTGTGACATCAGCAGGCATGTTGCTGAAGTTACTTATACAAAGAAAACTCCTGGAGAGTTCTATTTTACCATTTGACTTTTCTACTGCAATAATGGAAACAGGCATTTGCATACATGTAATCATTTTAAACATCTTTGATTAATTAATGCAGTCCTATTTCCTCTAGAGTAATATGACTGTCTTTTGAAAGAATGAACAAATAGTTGCTAGTTCTTTTTTGTGAGCCCCTAAACCCTCCTGCATTTATGTTCTTCATTAGGCATCAAAAATTGGCGGTGATTCTTGACAGCTCCCTCCTCTTTTTCTTAATCTTGGCTCTATAAATATTGGTTTCTCCTTAAAAGAGGCAGAGTGCACATTCACAGCACAGCTTTCATCACAACCTTTCAAAATAGTTATTGATATCAAACTTTCTAACTAAAGGACTGTCTAGAAAACTTTTCAGACTAGATTTGAGGACTATTGACATATTTCTCCTGGAAATGATTTTCACTCCTCTTTTCAAAGTATCCATAAATTAATTGTAGCATCTTGAAACATTTTGCCTTGGAATTTTTAATGAGGCATAGCATCTGAGCTTCGTGAGAATTTCAGGAACCAATATGATGCAATGTACTGCAAACTGTAAGACAGTTTTTGAACTTTATTCTGGTTGATTGGAATAGCAAACACTGCAAAGAAAACTCTGTGAAATCTCCATTTTTTTTCAACTTTGAAACAAAGTTTAAGTGTTGTCTTCTGCACTGTTCAATCTTCCAATTGCAACAGCACTAATGTGTGCTGAGAAAACAGTGGTGATCAATACCTCCATAATTATGCCCTTTACATGAGGTAGACACCAAAGAGAAAGATGTATAGTTATCATTTCATAAAATGGACACAAGTGCTACAAAGTATACACATACTTATTGGATAAAATAGAAGAAAGCAGACATACCCTCACAAACATATCCTCAGTGTCAGGGAAAGTTTAGTTCATATATTCTGAGGACCCAAGAGCCAGCATATTTAAGCTAACTTATAAGTACTGAGCAAACTCATGTGTGTGTGCTGTTCATGGTCTGCTGTCTCTGTTGGATGCACCATCTATGTTCACGGATAACATTTATATGAAAATGTGCCGCTTCAAGTCCTCAAAAACTGATGAGACAATCTTACTGGCTGAAAATTCTTCTTGGGCTTCTACTGTCCAGCATGGTTTTAAGAGGAAGTATCTCCTGTTGAGATACCTCACCTTGGACCACCTTTCAACTCAGAGGGAGAGAGTTGGAGGGAAATGAGTCCTATCACCAATGTGGCCTCATATCATGCATTCTGCTGCCAAAAAATAAACTTTAATCATGAGGAGATGGGGCTGGTAAGATGTGTCTGGAACAATTTACTACCAAATATTCAAAAAGATGATGTAGAATTCTCTGATCACCCTGTTTGCCTTAAGGTAGAATGATACTTATGCTGGGGGTGGAACTTGAAGGACAACACATGGATGACATCAAACACTCCCCACGCAACAGTTCAGTCACATGAAACACAGACTGATAACTATGGTAGCTAATTTCTATTGTTTGGTGTTACAACATAGGAATAGAATGCTAAGACCAGTTATGGACCACTTTCTGAGAAGGACACATTTTGGTAGTTGGAAGAGCTGTTGCTTAATGTTGGCAAGTTATTAGGTAGCACTTCCACCAAAAAGTCCTTCATGCCTGGAAAAATCTGCCATTAACATATCCTTAGGGATCAATCCAGAAAAGTGATGTATAATGAACATGAGAGACAGAAGGGCCCTGGCAGTCACACTTGCTAGCTGTGTGACTTTATAAAAAGTGACTTGGATATCTTCTATACTTGATTTAAATGGGAAAAGGAACATAAGCCATACAGTTGCTGTAGGAATAAGGAAGACAGAGTGGAAGGCTTTATCAATGCCATCCCCTTCCTAATCCCTAGGACATGTGACTGTGTTACCTTACCTGGCAAACTAGAGTTTTTTCAGGTTTGACTAAATCCAAGAGATTACTTTGGATTATTCAGCTAAACAAAGTATAATTTTAGGGATCATCATGGGGAAGCAGGAAAGCTGGAGTTAGAAAGAGGGAAAAAGCTATAATCAACAGAATCGGCAAAATCAGAAGTCAGAGAAAGGGAGAGAAAGACTGATCAGATGGCTCTATCCTGCCAGCTTTGAGGATGGAGGCAGCAGCTAAAAGCCAATGAATATGGACAGCCTCTAGAAGGTTAAATAGGCAAGAAATATTCTCATAAAGCCTGTAGAAGGAACCATCCCTGACAGAATGGTTGGACTTCTAACCTCTAGACAATGAGATAATAAATCTATTTTGTTTTAAGACATAGAGTTTGTTGTAATTTGTTATAGCAGCAGTAGCAATACAATATAATAGTGTACCTAAAAGTATTAAAGAGATTACATTATGATAACGCAAGGAATTATTAGTTACTTCTGTTTTTTCCCTTGTGAAAAAGGACCAAATTTTATTACCAAATACTTAAAATGACTTTAAAAACACTTAACCTAGCAACATAAGTGCACTATGCAATGCATTCATGCTATGACATTAGGATATAGATAGTATGCTCATTTTTTTGCCCAACCATGATTGCATTGGGACCACTTGCTTATTTTATTGAAGTTCTCAGAGACTAAAACAATTTTGGTGCCAAGGACTGAAAGGAAGCCAATTGGTTCACTGAACTCCCACATAAGGTGCAGAATCCAGGTATACTTGCAGTCTCTGTGTCTCCACTGAATAGTATTTTCTATTTGAATATGTGAGCTGTCATATTCAACCCACAGCATAGTTCTACATTAAGGTAGACCATGTAAAAACTTTGAATTTGTTTAAAACAAAGACAATATACAAATTAAAGAAAGTTTATTCTCTCCGTATAAAAAATAGTAGCCCAGTTTTACTCCTGGGTAGGCAACATTAATTTCAACGGTGGCAGCAGTTAGAAGACAAAGTTCTTGTTTTGCTCTGAATCCGGCTCTCATCAGTTTCTGAGAGTCTATTATATACTAAAGGGAAACACTTGGTGTTTTCCCAGGTCTGATAAAGAGCCATCTGTTACACTAAAGGTGCTCATGAAGTGACTGTGGATTTTCCCACAGGGTGTGAAACATCTGACAAATGCCAAAACTCACAGTTGTGAACACCTTTAGGCCCCAAGGATAGGCTCAGTTCTAACATAATGCATTACTTTTCCTATTTTGCTAAAAAGTCACCATTTTTATTGTTCATACATGAAGGGTACTTTTAGGGTGAAAATGTAACTCTAAAAAAACTACCAACATTTTTCATTTTCTTCTTCATACAAATCTTATATGCAAATGGCCATGTTATTCAAACCTTGATAGTAATGTCTAGAAATTCATCTCATTTGCACATACAAGAAGTATCAAAACATTTAAAGGAAAGAAAGTACAGAGTTGAGAAATTCTGGAAATATTTTGGAATCCCAAGGGTACCAGTCATTCATAGTCCCCTCCTTGGTTGAAGAGGGGCAACTTCTGGGGCTCACTGTATTAAAAGTAAGAGAAAATGGAGTCATGAAATGAAGCCAGGGAACTATTCAAGATGGTGGCTTCTCAAACTATTGAGAGCTTTCTCAGAGGCAACCTTTATCATGTCACATTAAATTGGACAAAATTTATATATTCAAATAATGGCTGAAGCAAATTATTTACTGCATGATAAAACATAGACTCTTGAATGAAGAACTTCAGAGGAGATTCCTGTTTTCCACAGTGACTATGTACGAAGCAAGGGAAGTTTGTGGTGCAGGGTGAGCAGGAAGTGACACTTGGGACCCAAGGAAATAACACCAAGACCTTAATTTGGTCTGGGTTTCATGGCCTCAGGGACTTCTCCCCTCTGTGAAGGCCATGTGGATTGCCAGTGGTCAATTCTTACTTGTTTCCTTAAGTCTATCAGATTGTAATCTCACTGATTTTTAACAAAGATAATCTCATGTTCCTATTTGATGAACTGCTGTTCTGAAGAACAGGACATTTATTCTTAATCTCAGAACATACTTTCTGAAGCCCTAACAAGAAAAGTACATTCTAGGCATCAGTCGCTGAAGTGGACTTCCAACTTTTGAGACCAAGTATACTTGACATGTCAAATCATACCAAGTGTCTTTAACATATGTCCTTATTTCTGCAAAGTGTTGCTTTTATTTTTATTTTGAAAAGGATCATTGGCTTTTCTTTGTAACAACTAGTAAATGCATGTCCTTCCAGTATCTCCCGTGATGGTCTTATAAACTAGCCACTGGCACACTGGACACCACAACCTCCAGAACAATGTGAGGCAGCTCTGACCATGTGGTTCTCTGAGAATTTGGACTTCTTAGCTCATGGGAATGAGGGTGCTCTGTGCTTTGGCTGCTCTGGGCCTCTTCAGAGAGATAGGATGTGTTGATGAGGTCAGTAGCCTGACTTACTGTCAAACTGTTATTATAAACACTTGGTTACATAATCTGTGTACTTGGAATTTCAGCTCTCTTGGTGCTGTTTTGAAGTATATTCTGAAGGTGATGGAAAAGAAAGTTAAGTACACAGGACAAAGCTGATGTAATCACTACTGTTTGAGAAAGGGAAAGATTTCTTCTAAAATATTTGAATTCTAAAGCAGGCAGTACAGTGACACCAATTGTGAACCCCAAGTGCTGCTTGTTGACACTGTGGAATTTTCTAGAATCGAGAAATAAAGCATTACGTTTTATAAGTGTATGAAGAAAAACTGGATAACTGTTGTAAGTTAACAACTGTCTCTTACTCTTACTATTGTATTCAGAATTTGACAAACAAATAGATTAAAGAATTAAACCTCAGTTATTGCAAACCTTTGTTATGCAAGTGGTAAGATAAGATTTAAAAACAAAACATAAGATTTCTAATAATGCCAGTGATAAAGCAGTGCTTGTAGCTATACCTTGTGCCTATAGTTTTCTAATAATGCCAGTGATAAAGCAGTGCTTGTAGCTATACCTTGTGCCTAAAATAGTGCCTGACACGAACGCTGTGCTCAATTTGCTAAACAAATGCTTGTCATATCTCTGCTTGGAAGAAAGAATTTGAGTTCTATTCATCAATATTCACAAATAAAAGTCCAATACCAACACTTAAAGGATATTTTTTTGTTCTCACCACCATAACATTTTGATATTTTATAGCATAGATTAATACCATGCAATTTAACACAGTAATTACATACCAACTACCTGCCACATACTGCTAACAGCACAGGTATTAGGACAACTGCTCACAGAGATCAGGACCACAGAATTCATAGATAGCCACACCAACTGTCACTTTCATAGACTATGTTCTTCATGAACCTAGCACTGTTCACACATGGCTGAAGTCCCCTGATGTAGAGCACGTCTGCTGCAAGATGTCCAAATCGTATCTGTGCTGACTTATTCCACCATTCTTGGTGACACAACAGACTTTGCTTCCACACATCTACCACTTGTCTTCACTGATTACAAATGTAATGTTTCATAATAGTCAATGCATTCCCCTGAAGCATGTTTCAATGGATCACTCCCAAAAATCACCCTAGAACAGGTGCTGACAATTGCAACCACAGCTCCTTGTAAATCCCCCTCACGATAATTCTACCCAGGTTGCCCTGTGTAGACAACAGGTGTTGTGTGCCCTGCCATGGAAGTGTGTGCAGCAAGAGGAGGGCGCTCCTGTTTTTTTCTGGGGAAGACTCTTGGCAACAAACACTAAAAAACAGCTAATGCTGCCATGAAGTGTTATTATTTGAGTCTCCTCAGCCATCTGTGAATGGCAATGTCTTGTGTAGCTGTCTGCATATGAGTGATACTGGCTCACTGGGTCTGAGGACCACATGGAAAAAATGCCAGCTCTACTGGTTTGTCATAACTCCCAGAGACAGTGCTCAGGGCTGAGCAGCAGCAATCACCAGCTCTGGTTTCTTTGCGAAGCTCATGAATGAATGAACCCCGTACTCAATACTGACAGTAGCGTCATCTTAATAATGCCTAAGATAATGTGGATATGTGATTAAAAACACATTTTACCTGCTGACGCTTTTCGAATTCCAGCTTGATCCGGGACTTGATGCAATTACATGTGTCCTGATATGTTTGCTGCAGAGCAAGTTCCATGAGGTGCTTGTGGTAGGCTCCTGCAAGGTTGCCACAGATGAAAATTATCACATTGGCCAGGATCTGAAGAGACAGAAAGAGCTGCTCTGTAGGGTGATGGTTTCTAACTCATGGATATGATAAAAGCGAAATGCCTGTTAGCAAAAATCTTCAAAAAGAGAACTACAACATGCTGATTTTACTTGTTTCCCAAATGACATTCTTAATTGTCTAACAGAAAGCCTCATTTTCCATTTTGATTCAATGCCCTTCATGGAGATCCATGTGCTTTGGTGGGTAACTTTGCAATTTCTGCCTTGATTTTTGGGTTCAACTATGCGTAGAATTTGCTTTGCTTTGATTAATACAATGTGGACACAGTAGCAAAAACCTTTGTCCCTTCCTATTATTGCTTATACTCTCTCTTCAACAAAATTAGAGATAAGGGCAAAACAGTTTCTGCCTGGTAGCGAGAGGGTAAGGAGAGGAAAGGAGTGGGGAAAAGGGAGGGGGTGGGGGAAAGGGGGTAGAAATGACCCAAACATTGTATGCACATATGAATAAAAGAAATTTTAAAAATTGTGGACAAAAGTACTGTGTGCCACACCCAGCCCAGGTGTGTTATCAAGAAAAGAATACACTCTGGCTATCCCACTTGTGCCAGGATGAGAAACATGGAGCACAGCTACCCTGCCAACCTGCCATCTATTATTGTGAGCTGTAGAAATTTGATAGTTGTTACAACTGTGCTACTATGATACATGCTTCCCTCCCACCATAACTGCAGTCGCTGAGTCTGGATCTTTTCAGCATATTGAATTATTCTGATGATAAAACAATTCATGTTTACAATTTGGAAGGAAAATAGAATAAAATATAAAGGAAGAATACTATTGCCCATATGGCTATGTCTGTCCATTTAGTGTCCGTCTATATTCTCAAAATTGGTGGCAAACTTGTTTTTGTAAAGATCCCTGTCTTGTTCCAGAAGACCAGAGTTCATTTCAAATGCAGTTTTGTGCTTTGCTTTTTAAATTTAACATTTAATCACAAATGAAATCCCAGAAATTATGTAGAATTGGGATTTTGAATGCTTGGGTGATATTCGGTTCTATGACTCTGTCATCATTTAGCCATGGCCTCACTGCTTAATACTCCTGTGTTAGCTTCTGTCCTTTTGCATTGTGTTACAGATGTCAACTGCATGAACAAATCTTTATCTTCCGATTTGATCATTTTTTAGACTCAATTACTCTCACATACTCAGTCACAAGTCGTTCATGTTTTAGGTTCTTGATATATGTTACAAAATTGCTCTCGGGACATGTCCTTTTTCTGTTCTCTTCAGCAGGTATGAAAAGGCCTCTTCAGTGTGTGCTCCTAATATACAGCACATGACTCACACAGATAAAGCTCTTCTGTGCTCAGGGGTGGACCTACAAGTCTACCAGTGGATGGGCAGACATACTGGCTTACTCTCACCCCAACTTCCACGTGAGAATAATTCTAACCACGACAAGCCAGTCATGGCTTCAGTGACAACATAAGAGCATTTTTCTCCAAAGGTCCTATGTGCCTCTGTCGGAGTCTTCTCAGAACAGATCAACCAACTGCCTCATCTGACATGATGGGCAGGAGGGCATGGAAGAACTTCACTCCTAAGCTTTTAAGGTTCCAATGATGAGAGTTCCCAGACAGAATCACAGCTGTCCTCCCTCTACATAGTGGGGTCACTCCTCTAGACGTGAGCAGGAAAAATGCATCTGATTAGAGCTCCCAGGAGAAAGATGTAGACGCTGTACACTTAGCCCTTTCCCTCTCCACACTGAAGATGATAGTGACCTCATGGGCTGTGTTCTTAGCCAAGCTTTAGACCTAATGGGCCCTCTTACCCTGTGCTAGGGAAAGCTTTTAAATGGGGTCAGGAGCAGGGGACCTGGCTTAACTCAGAGGAATGTTAGGAAGACCATTATTCCCACACCTAACCACATTCTCCAAATGGTTGTGACTAAGGAAAGTGGATTTTTTTCTCTATCTGTCCAATGCCTTTGTGTATCTCTTCATAGGTTCAAAACACAGGATGAAAAGGGATATTCATTCCAAGTTCCACCAGATCCCTGGGAAATACAGTTTGGGGGTAGAGGGACAAAGCAAGACAGAGGTAGAAATGAGAAGAATGACATGATGGGCCTTTTTCTGAGTCAGTGCAGACACCCCATAGAAGTCAGCAAAGAATGGTGCAGACTAGTAAAAGCCGCCTTCGCTGCTGTTCCAATAACTTATACTTTCCATAGATATTTGGGATTGGGAGATCCTAAGTATCACATTTTCACAGCTCACCTCCAAAATGTTCTTTCTTGCAAAATAAATTAACTTTGGGTATTTCTCTATGTGTTTGTGTTATATGCGTGAAATGTATGCAGGCGGTGTGCATTCATGTATGTAATTTGTGGGTAACATACTAATATGCTGTACATTCATTCATTTCCATGTAATTTGTGTGTGATCTATGAGTACTACATGTGATTTCTACATGTGATATGTATGTAACACATGTACTATGTGGGGGACATGTGTGCTTACAAGCCATGTGTGCATGCACCAGGTCAGAGATAAGAACCAATGTGAGAGTGTTCGGGTTGCTTCCAAATGTTTCCTAATTTCAGGGGGCCCTCTGCCTTCTCATTATCATAGGCCGACCCATCACCTCTGTGGATGCCAGTCCTGGAGCATTCCTGAGGACATTCCTGGCCCCTATTTGAGGGGATTCACCTCCAGCTGACCAGGGTTGACTTGGAGATGATGGCCCATTGCACACCATTCATTAAATCCTGTCATATTTGGTCTCTGCAAAATGACTATTTGGTTTGTTGAAGATTCTTCAGACCTTGCCATTGCTAGACTTGCTTTGAAGAACAGTACACCAAAGCATGCAAGGAATGCAAAAGCCAAGGCAGACCATCCTGCTTAGAATTAGTAAATACTAACTCCTTCCTTATTAGGTACAGCTGAGATAATAATAAAAATAACCTACTGATTATGAGACTTTTTTCTCTTCTTCCTCAAAATATGCCTTCAAAGCAAAAATGTCAACATTTTAGGAAGCAAAAATGCCTCCAAAATAAGAACCAAGTGCAAGCAGCAAAACTGAATGAAGCCGTCACCTACAGCCCATCTGATAATGACTGGAGCACTTCACAATAATACCCCGATGTGGGGAGCTATCCACTGGAATGGCAAGAACCGTCATTCCATGTTTTTTTTTTTTCCCCCAAGGATCCTACTCCCCACTTATTTGCTGTGAATGCCCTTGGCCTGAGTCAGGAGGAAGGTGGTGTCTAATTCATGGGATGCCCTGCCTTGCAGTCTCCCATGGACATATCAGAAGGGATGCAGACACCCTACACAGGCAGTCAGCCTTGAGCTCTGGGCTCCTGCCTGAGCCAGCAAGACAATGGCTTATACGTTGTATGATCAGCTCCAATACAGGGCCCTGTCACAAATATGATTTATGTCCACAGCATTTATAGCTTCATATGAAACCTGGAATATGAAGGACGTGATTAAATTAAGATTTTCCTTTTCAAAAATAATAATCAAAACATTCTATTTTCTTGAAGACTGTTATGAACATATGACAAAAATCTTATTTTTATAATGTTGGATCTGTTTTATAACATCATACTGCCTTGATGTCTTCTTTTATCTTGTTAGTTCATTTAGCTACTGTCACTTCTGCCAGAAATCAGGAGCGAGAACTTGCCCTCCCACAAGATGTCTTGGAATAAAACAAATTGTTTAAGGTAATAACACCAGGCAAGGTTTACCATGAGTATTAAAACTAGGCCTTGAAACATAAAACTATGCAAAGACATTGCTATAGAAGTCTGGCTTTCTCCCTCCATCTCCATCCCCATCCCCAGCTCCTTGTCTTTGCTAGATATACATATGGGGAGATAGGCCAAATGATTCTCAGTGCACATTGGTAAACCTTCTGCTGCCAAGAAGACCACCATCTACCAGCCAGTTATGATTTTTTACTTCATTATTATTGGCTGCTATTTCTCTTCTAAATAGACCTTTTATATTTTAATTCTTGCAAGAGTCAAGAAGGCAACACACTCAGGAAGATAGACACACTTTATTATTTCATCTTGTAGTCAAGGAAACAAAATTCTAAAACTCAGTCGACTTAAGGGCAGGTCCAGGGCCACCTAGATTCCCAAGGTAGCCCCTGTTATGTCCCTCCCAATCACCCCAACTCACAAACCTCAGCTCGGGTTCTTCCAGTGCAATAAGACCTTCTGCCAGGGCATGGGGAAGGTATCTCCAATGAATTTCTAAATAAACACGTGGTACTTTGCAAGAAGCTAACACATTTTGTATCTTATGCTATGAAGGGTATGAAGGAAATTGAAAAACCAATGACCTTAACAATAGGTGCTATTAATTGAAAATCAGGAGTTAAATGTTATTTGATTTTCTAAGGAAACTGCCATTATAGAATAGGTGGTACTGTTGGTCGTGATTATTTTCATTATTCTCTTTTATACTACATCTGCTGTTAAGTCTTTTTGAATAATATCCACTATGTTACTTTTCCAAAAAGAATCACATAGTACAGAGATAGAGCACATGTGCAGTGTATTGGCTAGAAAACATGGATGGGGATAACTTGCAGAGGCACTTGCTGCTCTCAGAAGTGCTGAAGCCAACAGGAAGAAAAGACCTCAGAAGATTTTCAAGATCCTGATAGACAGGTCTTCCCACAAATTAAATCATTGGGAACACAGCTTCCCTTTAAGAAAGCAATGCTGAATTAACCACACAGACATCCCAACTTGAACTTCTCGGTTCAGTGACTACAAACTCAAACTGGCAGGAACATGTTTCCTTGATTAATAGTTTAGCATATGAGAAAAGAGAAAAAAAACAAAACAAATTGAGTTCCCAATATGCACAGCTCTGCAGAAGAAAAACTGCACAAGTTTCAGTCCATGACTGCCCCTTCTACTTTCTGTAAAGGAGGCCTCTGCCATTCTGCTTATTTCCCATCCATTCTAGATTTGACTAAAACACACAGA